AGAGAGAGAGAGAGAGAGAGAGAGAGAGAGAGAGAGAGAGAGAGAGAGAGAGAGAGAGAGAGAGAGAGAGAGAAAGAGAGAGAGTCTTTTAGGTATACTACTAGCCCGCATACTCTTCCTTTCAGCTCAATGCCCACAGCCAAGGTGTTGTGTAGCAGCTATTACCTGACTTATGCCGCTGAATCAATCTTCATACCACAGTGCCTGTCCACCGGCTGAACTACCTCCTTGGTGATCTGCTTCACTAACTCAATCCATTTCATGGATCTTACTTCTGATTCCCTTTGTCTTTGACCATTTCCTCACTCTTTTGCAGCAGAAGTTTTGCTGATTCAGCTAAAACTGCATCCAGAGGAGTTTGATTTGTTTTGGTAAGTTGTTTGGAAGCACTGGCGGCCATGGACGTTGCACTTTGCTGCCGCTTGAAAGTTATGAATGAAGAAGACTTGCTATCATAGTTTCCTCCCTGTGCTTTCATGATTTCTTGATTCTGTGTGATATGTTGCCGCTTCATCCCTCTAATACAGCATGTGTGGCAGTGGCAAAAAGTGTTTTTATGGTAGTGGATTCCATCGACTGAGCTCAGGAACAAGATCGTAATGAAGATCCTCTGGTTGCAATACGTCTCTGAGAACTAACTATGCTCATTTTCAGAGTGACGCACACGCGAAAATTCTTTCGTCTATGGGATTGCTGGTTCCCTCTTTCCTCTTTCCTACCCACTTTTTTTTTGTCTTCCTTGAAATCTCGATGCTGAATCTTCCCATCGTTTTTCTAAATTTCACCTTTGTGTAGTAGAGGTGCGTGCAGAAAGGACACCAGGTAGAGGGGAGTAGCTAGACTCACACACACAATACACTTGACGATGCAACAGACAGACTCGTGGCCCATGCGTCATGGAGAAGAACAGGATGGACGACACAGTCGGCTGAGAATAGTGTCGAATTACCGAAATGCGCGCTCAACGATTGGGCACCGAGGGCAGGACCAGTGGGCCAAGCATTCCTGGTGCCAAAACCAGCACATGGAAAACGCCCAGCGCAAAACAAAAAAATGGAAACACTAATAAACAGCAGAATATCCCACCACTAGTAATTACACTTACCAGCCGCGGTCCACCGCAAGGGCAAATGACGATCAGCAGGTTTCCGAGTCTTTCTGACATTTTGCTAATCCATCACCTTGGCAGCCATGGTCCTTTGCAAGGGCAATGACGATCATATTACATTGACATTTCATGATCCTTTATGTGGACTTGACATGGGCATATGTGGGCGGGCATATGTGCACATGCAGTCGTGGGCATGCAGATCTAGAGAGCTTGGTGATTGAAAATCCGTAGTGGACTGCATGACGGTGTTAATAAAGCTTCGCTGGCTATGGCAGGGGGTGGCCGGCTAAAAGTTGTCCCGCTCATCGCTTTGTTGCGAAACATATTTCAAAGTTCAAACACAGTTAATTATCCTCAACAGGCAGAAAGAGGAAAGAAGAAAAGGTTGTAAGTCCATCTCACCAGGTGAGTAAGGTGCTGCAGGCATGCTTGGATCAGGAGCGGTAAAGAATGTGGCCCAACCAACTTGACCAGGGCTTGCATGTGAGGCAGGCCAAAGTAGCAGCCATCAACTTCTGCGAGGAATGAATAGGCAGCATTTAACTCCTGCAATCCATGAGAACGCACGGTGGGTGAATGGGAACGAAACAAGGCAAACTCAAAACCATTCCTTAATATCCATATACATGTTGCAGAGTCGAAATTTGTCGATTCTTTCTTTTGAAATTTTGGATGTCTCCCTAAATAATAGGCCCACTCTCACTTGAAGCAAGGCAAGTTCCACATTTCATATCCTCTTTATATGCTGTTATAACCAGTGTTATGTGCTCATTCTCTTTCTTTATAAGAGAAATGCATGGTAGATCTGACCACCTCATATTAAAAAAAAGAAAAAGAAAAAGAAAAAGAAAAAGAAAAAGAATGATGATCTCATCATCTCACTAATTATCAGACTGTATTGTAGATCTGACCACCTCATATTTAAAAAAAGAAAAAGAAAAAGAAAAAGAATAATGATCTCATCATCTCACTAATTATCAGACTGTATTGTAGCTCTGGCCACCAGTAATGACCTCACTATTCTTCCCCCCCCTATCTATATTGTCACATATTGTCACATAACTATGAACTAAAAGAGCGCAGTTTGCGAAACAAATGGTAAAGACAAAAAAACAAAACAAAGATGAGGGGCACACTGAAACTATTCATTTTTCTCATATTAAAAAAAAAGAAAAAGAAAAAGAAAAAGGATAATGATTATCAGACTGCATTGTAGCTCTGGCCACCAGTAATGACCTCATTATTCTTCTCCCCCCCCCCACTATATATATTGTCACATAACTATGGAGTCTGGACTAAAAGAGCGCACTTTGCGAAACAAACGGTAAAGATTAAAAAACAAAACAAAGATGAGGAGCACACTGAAACTATTCATTTTCCTCATTCTTCTTTTTTTTTACTCCTAAAGAATATAGCGGTCCTCACGTGATGCCCCCCGCTGGGGCCACCGAGAAACCGGGAGGGGAGGTGGTACCTGCGGGGCACGGGTGCGCAGGACCATCGGCCAGTTATTTTTTCTTTTGATCAAACATCACGTGTTTCTTTTTTCCGTTTTCGTGTTTCCCACAGCGCCTGCAGTCCGCAGTTCCTTCGTGGCCTCGATGTTGTTTCGTTTCACTCTGTGGCCTTCTGTAGTTTCACTTTGTTGTATCGTTTTTCCTACTGCGATGCCAGCTTGAGCCTGGATGTCGTTTCGTTTCACTTTGTGGCCTTTTGTCGGGCTCTGCCCGGTGGCACAGTTCCTTCGTAGGCTTTTGTCTTGTCGTGGCGCTGCAAGTCTGCAGTTCCTTTGGCCCTCGCTAGAGGCAAAGACCCCGGTGTCAGTCAGTCCAGGAATAAGTCAACGAGGCCAGATCAGGCAGGGGTGAGGGGTGGTACATCCTTCCTATGGGAAGTAATCAATGCCTTCCACTCGGGCCTCCCGAGTCCCAACCACAATGGGGAGGCGAGTTAAGTGCATACAAGTTGTATTCGCTTTTGATTTGCCGCTGGAATAGGAACCTGACTGTTGCTCCCCAGAATGGACATGGAGGCAGAACCATAAGGTTCTGTTTTTGGTTAAAAAAAAAAAAAAAAAGAAGAAGAAGAAGAAAAAAGAAACTGTGGGATGACGAGAACACAGTTAAAAAAAAAAAGAACAAAAAAGATAGACGTAGCCACCAGATGCACACACCTTGTTGGGCCTAAGAAACAACAACTTGTGTGCTTCTCAAAGGAGCTCGCTAGAGATGCCATATGTGCAAATGCCTGGCCACAGAAAATTTTATTCGCAAGCCGACAAACCGGGCCTTGCACCCCAGGCATCGGATCCATTTCAAATTTACATACTAAAGAGAACTGTTGTCTTTAGAAACAAGGGACACGAATGAAGCAAAGGGCCAGGAGATTTTGATTTTTTCTTAACAGAGAGATGCATCATATGCGTTTTGATGAACAAGTATGTCTCAGAGAAAAATTAGATCAGGTGGTGTACATTACGACCCACATCATTTTCCGCAACCAAACTTAAGATAGCTGTCATGGCGGTGTTCAAGATCGACGATTTGGGGGGGACTTCCTGGAGTACAAGGTAGAGAGGGGGTTACATGTGTTCCGTAGAGGAAACTGGGCTTAATGAAGGGCATTGCCGGTCGCTTGATCTCCTTTTGGCCACATATGCATCTCGTAAACCGTTGAGTAGCATTGCAGTAAGTGAAATTCAACAAGAAGTCGTACAACCAGTCTGATATAACCTGCAAAAAATGCAAGCGATTGCCATCAGTTTCAGACTAGCAGTGCTGCTGAAGTCTGTTCATTGTTGCTGATTCACATGTACATCAAATTGATGATCATGTTAGACAGTTAAAGTCTTGTCATTGCCAAAAGCCATACACCCCTGCAAGGTGAACGAGTACAACTGCTCAGAGAAAGAGATGAACTTCTCTTGTGATGGATGGGGCACAAGGTTTCCGCTAGAGCCCACAGAAAACTGCCACAGATCCACAGCAATAAACTGGAAGAGCACCAGGGTTGCATACCCGCCGACTGCCTACCCCGCCAGCTAACCGTATTGCAGCCGACCAGTAGGGCCGACCGGTCGACGGTCTGCCGACCAGTCAGAAAACAGCCATCCACTTTTTTTTTTCAAATCTGAGTTGGGGGCTGTACTGGGCTTGCTGAGTACAGCCCATATCCGCTGAGAAAGTTTTCGGGATGAGAGGGGCTATTGGGGGGATTGGGGGGGGAGTATACGGGGGGCATACATGCCTGAAACCAGAGGGCAATTGACATATCAGACTTGCAAAACAAACAATTTCTTCCCCAACAACGTTTTTTCACACATATTTCAAATACAAAATTACAAATGCATAAGCCAACGTACATCATTCTTCCAAGGTATACTACAACCAAGTCCTAGAACAGGCGAAATCCATATCATCTGCTTGCTCAACGCTCGGGAGTCTAATACTACGATTTCCCCTGATCTTCCTGACTGCTCATTCAAAAAGAAGACTTTATGTTTGATTAGTTATACAACTTCAACTTCATTATAAAAACTACCACAACAATGATGTTCTGGGAAAATGGCATGACCCTGATATGATAGATATCATATCATATATATCCCTTACGGGATTTGAACCCGTGTCTTTTGGAGTGTGTGCCAATGACCTGCAATGCTGATTGTTGGCAGGGCTCAGACAGGTCATCCACTCTCCTGCATGCCAGGGCACTGTCAGCAACGAACCATCGGACAGTTGGTAGTAACTTGGTACCATAAAAACAACAGAAAAAGTATTTTCAAATCACTAAATCTTCAAGGATTGGTGTTTGTTGGGTCCTCAAAGTTCACTAGTGGACAGGAATCGCGATGGGGAGAGGTGGAGTACGACGGACAAAAAACATAGATGAAAGGGGTCCAGGACCAGGGTTGAGAAATGAACGCTGTTTCAGATGGTTAGGAAAGGACTCTCAGTTTGACAAGGATGGGGAGATTCAGTAGGGGATCAGGAAAGAGGAAATATGGGGACCTGGAAAATCAGAGAGGACCTCAGAACAGGAAGATGGGCGTAGTCTGAAGTAAAGAAAGTTAGCATTTCTTTTTATATACTTAAGGGAGGAGGAGAACGAGGGTTCCAGTCCCCGTCCAGGGACTAAGTAAACAGGGCATGGTGATTGTGATTGGGGAATAGTGGGCGAACCCTGTTGGGGTGCAAAATGTCTCTCATTGATAATGGAGACGAAGATTCACGGACAGTACTATCTGAATCATTTTCTTACTTGCTACTAGTCGGTGGTGGAATAGGAACCAAAATGACACTGTCGAGCTTGTCGGCTCCAGGAGGATGAGAATGCGGAGTGCACACAACAGTTTGCCACTCAGATTGGGTGCACCACCTTAGATCCCGTCCAGCCCTATGATGACAGGATAGGTCCAGTGGGGCAAGCTTCCCCGACCCAAGGGGCTGTCACCACCCTTGGGGCAAGCTTCCCCAACCCAAGGGGCTGTCAGCACCCTCGGGGCAAGCTTCCACAACCCAAGGGGCTGTCACCACCCTTGGGGCAAGCTTCATCAACCCAAGGGGCTGTTGAAATCAAACTCGTCTTCTTCCCACTTTGTCATGCCTGCAAACAGCGGTACAGCAACTGGCGACATGCGCCCACACAGTACTCAAGATATCGTAACCAGATATGAGTTCTCTTCA